GGCTGGTAATTTTCCAGCCTGACCAGCTAAGACCAGGCTGGAAATGGCTGGAAACCAGCCTGGAAATGGCCAAAACCCCTCTAAAACCAGGCTGGTCCTCCAGCTAAAACCTGCCAACCAGCCTAGGCTGGTTTAAGCTGGATTTTTCAGCAGGGAAAACAAACAAATGACACGTTACTGTACAGCAGTGCAATGTAGATGTAATGTGGAGAACATGCAAACTCCGCACAGAAACACCAGATGGCTCAGCGAGGACCCAATGCCATAGGTATTCTTGCTGTGAGGCAACAGTGCTAGTCACTGGGCCACCGTGCCGCCCATTCTGAATGAAGGAGGAAGAAGGGGAGGAGGGTTTTTTTTTCCAGATGAAGATAGTTGTAGAAAGGAAATATATATAGTGACTTGGGATCCTTTGATTGGAGGATCATGATTAGCTAATTTGGACCAGCTGGGTCAATCATAAGCACATGCTCCTCTCGAAATTAGTTTAAAATTAATCTTCACATGTGGAAAGCGTGAATTAAAAGAGCCAGCTGCATTTTTCTAGAACCGCTCTGGAAAATACTTTGTGCTAATGAAGAAACATGATGCAATTGTTGATTTACTGTGGAAATATGGTTTTAAAATGTAATCCAAACTAAGAATTCAGTACTTATTTTTCTATTCTGATCAACAGGCAGCGTGCTTATATGCATGTTAAGTGTCTGTATGCCTGAGATTTTCACCATTGCAATGGCTCATCTGTCAGTGGTTAACATGACACTGGTGTATGTCTAATGATCCGCCATTACGGGAATCGCCACCTTGTGGCGGCTGGGTGTACTGTAGCTAAAGCGGTTATCTGCTGCAGTCAGTGTGGAAAACTGATTAATTAAATCAGACCTTTTGTAAATTTAGGTAAATATCTTGGCACCTGAGTATGTATCCTGTTAAGAAATAACACTATAAATGGGCATACATTTTGTCCCACTACTAATCCACAACTCAACAAACTAAAACGAAAGTCAGACAATAATTTTAAGCACTCTTGGGGGCCCCCTGGTGGCCACGGGGCCCTAAGCAGCTGCTTAGTTCGCTTATGCCTTGGGCTGGCTCTGCATGTTACTGTCTATACAGGCCTTTTACAGGATGAAATTGTGTATTTGTTGTGTTGTAGGTGAATGGAGCTGAAGGAGAGATTGAATATGAAGAGATCACGTTGGAAAGGGTAATATATTATGAACTATCACAGTGCTATAGTATGATTTTTATTTTCAATTGTGATCATTCATTGAAATGGGAGACTTTTACAGTTGAATTCATTTCTGTAACAAAAATAAAATGTTTTATGAAGTAATATGTTGTTAAAAAATATGAATTTGTATGCTATTACAATATAAAAAACGAGTAATTATTCATTTAAAAAAAGGTAAATCCAGATGTAAAAATTATTTGTGAAAAAAACTTGCACTTAGTTATATTGAACGTGCACTTGTAGTGTATTCTGAACATTCGTTTGTACGTAATATAATAATATTAAGCATGTGTGTGTGCGTGTGTGTGTGTGCATTTGTGTCTGTGTGCGTGCGCATGCGTTTGTGTTTGTGCGTTTGTGCGTGTGCCTGCATGCGTGTGTATGCATGTGTGTGTGTACGTGTGCATCCTTGTGTGTGTGTGTGCGCTTTTGTGTTTTTGCCTGGTTGTGTGCATGTGTGTTTGCCTTCGTGTTTGTTTGTGTGTGTGTGTGTGTGTGTGTGTGTGTATGCATTTGTGTGTGTGTGTGTGTGCATGCATGTTTGTGTGCGTTTGTGTGTGCGTGTGCATTTGTGTGTGTAGGGGAACTCGGGGCTGGGCTTCAGTATCGCCGGAGGCACTGATAACCCTCATATAGGAGACGATCCAAGCATTTTCATCACCAAGATCATTCCAGGAGGAGCCGCTGCGCAAGACGGGAGACTCAGGTAACACACACACATAC